TTCCTAGTGTGTGATCGTTATTCTAACGTAAAAGTCAGTCACATATGATGTGGAGAGCCTGAAATGCGACCTCCTGAACAGAATTCCTCACGGAACCGGGTCACAAGCTGGATTTCACGCTGTAATGCTGTCTGTCAACTAGTGCTTCGTTAGTTAGTCACTGTGGCAGAATTACCGACTGACACAAAAACAGCCCGAATTTTCTCCAAGCCATGTGGACCGTTTTATCGGCCAGGGCTTCGAGATATGTTCCGATTCGTCGCTGATTCTAACCTTACATCCCGTTCTACATTTTGTGAACTTGACAAATCTGCCCAAAGGCAGTGCAGGCTGATATTAGCTAAATAGAGTGAACCACGTCTCTCAAACTTTGCATTTGGTGGGGGAGCAGAGTCGGTGGGCTGCATCTAAATTGCGGAAGAGCCACGGTGGGCACAGCCTCCCTCTTCAAACGGAGACGTGCAGAATCGCGGGTAAAATGCTGGTTGCAAACTACAGCACTAGGCGGTAGCTGACTGTTTTCCAGACACCCATTGCGCGCAACCACTGGCGCCTAATTTCTCAGTCCAGCGGAAAGGAGTGCAACCCCACAGAGCCACCGCAACCATACTACACTACACCTTCTCACCATACTAACATGATATGGAGCACTAAACCTGAACTACTTTCCTAATTACACTAACAGCCAAACACTAACTAAACTACAATATCTAACAGCCAAACTAACACTAAATAAGTATGTATAACACTAAAAGCTATGATAAAGACTAGGATATGCTAATGCTATATGCTAATGCTGAACTACCGCTAACCTCCTACACTCACTTGCAAATCCAACTCCCAACTCGCCACAAGGCGTGGCCGAGACTCTCGATGCTTTTATAACTTTGACACAGAGCTGCTACGTAGTACTCTACTGGTTACGTAGTATCTTACTCTTTAGCCATTGGCTAAAATGTATTCAAAATGACTCAAATTCTATGTTTTAAGCTGAAGGTGGCACTGTACTGTGGTATTTAGGCAGAATTTTTAATTTTTAAAGAAAATGCACTAAAATGCTAAAATAATGAATACACACATTTAAAACACTATTAGACACTCATTTTTACAGTTCATCAGCAAAAAAAGTTAATTTAGATGTTACTTGCTCTTTAAAGTGTGAGCATGTCATATGTGCCTCAATAACACTATTTTTAGTAAAAATAAAATAAAAAATGTTTGGGGTCTAATCGTCTTAAACAATTAAAATGCAATTATTCAAGATTAATTCCAAAGTCTCTGATTATTTTGATACATTTTTAATTGAGTTGCATGCCTAGTCCAAACCTTAGTATGTTATCCCTAATTCAGTGTATTAAATGATGGTGGCAGGGGAGTTATGGCCTGCCCTGTAACCTGAGGGTTTCAGCAGGTTGGTGCCCCACTCAGACTGTCACTGTCATGGTGTCCTTGGGTAAGACACTTCTCCCACCTTGTCTGCTGGTGGTGGTTGGAGGAAACAGTGGTACTGATTGTGTGGCTGCTTTGCTACTGTCAGTGTGCCCCAGGGCAGCTATGGCTAGTGTGTTTTATCACTGTCAGTGTATGACTGTGTGCATGCATGGGTGAGGGCCTTTGTATTGTAAAGCACCTGTAGGGGTTCCAGGACTCTATAAGGCACTATAAAAATACAGGCAATTCATTGTTTATCATCTTGAACCAAGATCCATTCACCCTAGATTCTATGAAAACATATATTTTATGAGTTTGCTGGTCTGGAGCATTCAGGTGTGTGTTTACACAAAATGATACATATAATCAAATGGCAATCTCAATACTTTCATATGAATCATGTTAGTATAGATACAAGGAATGGATGTTGATCTAAAAGAAGCATTGGATCACACAGAATCTTTACTTTTATTAAGTCTTCAATCATATGAACAATAAGAATATACTGCAATACTTTTAACTTCATTTTTTAATTCATAAAACTGCTGCAAAATCATGCCGCATTGGCCCAATATAACCACAGACTTAAACCTTATATAAATTATGTATAAACCTATCCTATGGAGCCATACAAGGTCTAGGTGTAGATCATGCTGAACAATGCAGAACATTTGGCAACAACTATAGTAGATAGAATCGTATCAAAGTTTAGCTTGGTACCCAAGCATTAACAACCTTCTTTGTCTCTGCATCACTAAGAACTTGGGAAGTTGTACTTTCGACACAGGAAAGAACCTTGGATGGATCCCATATGTTGGAGAAGACTGATGGCAACGAGGAAGGTCACGAATCCTGAGAATGGGGTCAGGTGGCACATTTAAGTTGAACACTTTGGTGATCCATCACTCTCTCTGGATTGAGTTGATGGCTGAGCTGAGCTGAGATTAATGAAAGGTGAGCAGGGGCCGTCTAATGTCTGATGGCTGCATGTTTTCATGTAGTGTGAAGGACATACTACTGTCTTTGCATTCCTTGAAGGCGAGTTGTAAGGTATCTAAAGTCTGATCACTTTCTGAAAGGAGTTTATCCCAGTCAGCCTTACATGTTTGCTCTATATGAATACTCTTCTGTTGACTTTTACAACATAATCAACAATGTATTGAATCAAATGTGGAGAAATTTGCTAAAAGTTAGACAAAAGAAAACAATTCAGTAGTTTAAAAACTTTAAAAGTGATGTAACTGAGAGAAAAGAATGGTCTTAAAGGAGGTACAAGGGATTATTCATAAACAATTGGTGTCAGGAGGAAGCAATACTGATCCGTTTTCAATGGAATAAAGAACTGATACAAGTTTATTTATTGTACTAAAGGCTTTTTTTATTTTCAAATCTGCAAACAAGCTTGGCTTTGAACACAAATATGGTCACACAACACTCATCCCTCCCCTCGGGTATCTTCCCTGAGATGTTTCTTCATGGACTTCAGCTCTGCTTTGGTGTTCTGGTGCAGCCACAGCCACCTGGTGCTAAATGTACGGAAGACAGCGGAGGTTGTTGGGCGCTTTAGGAAGCACACCCCCCACCCCCCACCCCCCATAACTCCCATCATAATGGTGGGCTCATGTCGCTTCAGGAACTACTGTCACCCAGGACCTCAAGTGGGAGCCCACCATCACCTCCATCATAAAAAACGGCGCAGCAGAGGATGTACTTCCTGAGGCAGCTGAAGAAATTCAACCTATCAGTTCAGTCGATAAGGCAGTTCTACACCGCAATCATTAAATCCATCCTCACCTCTTCAATCACTGTGTGGTATGCCAGAGCCACCATCAGGGACATGAAAAGGCTGCAGCATGTTGTACACTCTTGTAACGTCACGTAATGGCCTGGTTTTAAGACTCACAGGTCAGATACACAGCCTGGGCCACCTTGCCCTGGCTACGACTCCAATCTGCAATATAGTCCTTCACAGGAGACTTAAAGTCTGCTACTACTCCTTTAATCTATGCAGCTGTCTGCTTATCTGACTGCTATTCCATCTAACGAGAAGAGGACATTTCAAGACTTAAAATAATCATTTAAATAAACTCTCTTTACTGCTAATCATCAAGGTTCATTATGACTGTGTTTAATTACTGAAATGAATTATTATTCTTTGTTTAATAATTATTTATGATAATCAGTAATGTTTAACTATGACAAGAATCATGTGCACTTAGCTCACACAGGTCACAGTAACATGCCCTATACTGTAGGTTATAAATTGTAAGTCGTTTTGGATAAAAGCGTCTGCTAAGCGAATAAACACACACAAATAAACACGAACTAAGTTAAAGGTAACTTGCACTCACATGACTTTTCCCATACACACCAGAACTTTCTATCTTCAGGAGACGTGTTTCTGAGGGTTTGTTAAATCTTCCTTCTACGTGTCAAAACCTGATTCATTAGAAATGATGATAGCCATCTCTTAAAACAGAACTCTCGTCATTCGCGAGTGAGTTCTAGAGAAAGTTGGGACGGCCACCCAACGCGCTTTAACCAAACAAGTGATTTCTGTCACGCTGGCAGAATTGCTCCGACACAACAAAACGACACCTGCAGAACAAGCTGATGCTACTAAGAATCTGCAGACGCAAACCAATTCCACATGTGTGCCTGCGGCTTCTCTAGGACCAGAGAAGTTGGTACCATCGGTCTTCCCTACCGGACCCAGTACCCTGAGGCTGTTCAACATCCTCCCCTGACCTCCGGATCCACGACGAGGGTCGCCTGACGGTGAGGTAGAACACAGATTTTGTCTCAATCCTCTTTAAGAGAACAACTTAGCTTATTGACAAAACCAAATTCTTTCTCCACCCAGAATGCGTCCTCTCTTAAAGAAACACGTTCTGAGACATTGCTTCACACGCAAACAAAACACACTTCACCTTAGATTCATCCAAACACAGGGTTGTATTTAATACCAAGGTCTTTTTAATACCAACGCTTTTACAAATCGTCTTTTATAAATTGTGTTTTATAAATTGTGTTTTAAATTGTCATGTTTAAATAGTTTAGTAATAAATTTCTTAACCTTTTTAAACTTGACTTGAAATAAACGCGGAGTGGGTGTATATTGATCACTGAACAAGCAAAGATCTTTAGATCTTCTGAATTAACAAATAACTTTTGCTATTAAATTAAATCTTTAAAAAAATAAATATAATCTTTTGATTAACATAGACCATAGACATGTATATACCTTGCATACTATAAATATCATTACTTAGATTAGCCATTTTTATATTTTGCTTGTTTTTACGTTATTGTATTTTGCACAACTGTTGCTGTGAAACTCGCACACAAGAATTTCACTCGCATGTACTGTACCAGTGTACCTGCACATGTGAAGTGACAATAAAAGTGATTTGATTTTGACCAAGCAAGTTGGTATATGAATATATATATATATATACACATATATATATATATATATATATATATATATATATATATATATATATATATATATATATATATATATGTAAATTTCATTTGTTAATTTGTTTGATCTTCTTGGGAATTAAAGCATAAGCTGATAGCAACAGCCTTTAATTCCTAGATAGTTAGTTCATTAACACTACACTCTGCTGAGAAGGTCTTTGGCTGAAAACTGCCCCCTATACAGGACCTGTACACCTCCAGGACATTGAGACATGCAGGTTGGATCACATGTGACCCATGTCACCCTGGACACAGTATTTTTTACTCGCCCTCATCTAGCAGGAGACTCAGATCCATTCGGACCAGAACCTCTCGCCACAAGAACAATTTCTTCCCCTCTGTGTTCAGACTCATGAATGACTGCCCATTTCAGCTGCTTTGTTCCAGTTACACGACCCTGAGTTGTGTTTGCACCTGAATTTACCCTTTCTGACCAGTACCTACACTGACTTGTGTTTAGTAGCTGCTTCTATAATCATTGTCTCCCTATGTATTATCATTTTATTGTGTTTATTTCCTAAGTCTAACTTTGCAAATCATTTATTTTTTCTTGCACCAGTTATCGCAGAAATTTCCTAATGTTGTGATTCTCGCACATATGGCAAGAAATCAGTGCCTTCTGATTCTGATTCTGCCGGAACCGGAAACCCGCGATGCTGGATGAAACGAAATGGTGTTAAACATCAGTTGCCATGTTCTAGGTCCAAACATCTTTTGTTGTCCGTGACTTCAAATGGTGTTTTACTATTTGGGACTCTGGCAATTTGTCCTAATGTTAAAGTTATAGCAGCCGGCTGTTTCTCCTTCCCTGATATTATTGAGCAGAGAAACTCTCACAGTGGTGTTGTGTTGCAAAATATGTAAATGTGTAATGAATGGAGGACCCAGGGAAGTGTAGCGGTATAATGACACACAAAAGCAATGTTTGCAAACACATATTCAGCATGTGGAAAGTCTTTGAAGGTTCATAAGTTATTCTTCAGTTTCATCTTGTTTTCCACAGGTGCCTACTTAGGAAGTAACTGATTACTAAAACTACAGATGAAACATTACTTAATAGAAGGAATTGAAGGGGTCGATGTCAGCTTGTCCATGGCTGCAAGTAAAAAAGCATCAGAAGTTTTTCGCAAGCGAGGAAGACTATTTCTGATAACACGAAAAGTTTCTGGAAAAAACAAGGAGGCCATTAGCACTGAGCCAGTTCTATTATCTAACTGTACAATAATTAAGACTTAACGAATGTCAAATCTTCTTTGGAGTCAAAGGAGTCAAGATGAACAGGTCAAAAATGGGTATTTTGTCGAAGAAGAGCTGTCCATACCCATTTAAAGTGAATGGTCTTAATCAAGTCACGCTTTCTGTCAAGCCTTCAGCATTCTGATTATTTGTCCAATTACTACAAGAACCAGCAGAACCACAGAGGAATTGACGTGGAAGCGGTGTTAAAGTGGGGACGTAAGTAATGGGTTCCAGTAGACACAGGCATGTGATGTAAAGCACCCAGGTCACATCCTAATCAGAGATTATCTTAAGGAAGGCTGATTCAGCTTTTCTGCATGCATTTGTTTGTGCGTCAGAGTGGCAGCAGATGTCACCCCCCAATACCCCCCCACATCACACGCACACACACCCCATCATCGTGTCCCCTCCTTCTCCTGCCGGCTCCCTCCTCACCTCCACCTCTGCAGCAGTTTTCTCTCTCTCTCGCACACACACTCATTTCTCCCGGTGCCGGCTCGGGAGACACACACTTTCTGCTTTTCCGCCTGGCTGCTGGCTCTGCTCCAGCATCCCCCTGTGCCTCCAGTGTTTTCTCCTCCCTCCTCTCTCGCTTCCCCTGGAGTCTATGTCTCCCTCAGTGAGGTTTGCTGGCCAGCCTGCTTCTCTGGCTGTTACTGCTGCTGGAGCAGTGAAGCTGCTTGACACCACATCGCCACACTGCCTCTACCGCACTGCCTCGCTTCTCCTTTCTGCCTTTTCCCTCACACTCAGCTTCACTGGATAAGTCATCTTCCCAAGCAGCTGCAAAGGACAGGAACGGAGCCGGGCAAAGGGAGGAGTGTCTCGTTGTTCAACTACTGCATTGATCTGTTTTGTCTTTTCTTTTGCTTTTCTGGGCTGCTGGAGGTCGGAGCAGGAGGACAACTGGACTGAGAAGAGATTTGTTCACTTCCTGCCTCTGCTCATTCCTGGGACAGAGTGCAGGGGAGGACAGAAGAGGGAGGGACAAGATCAGGACTTCAGACTCCCTACCGCTGCACAGCTCAGTGTCCCACCTCTTCCAAAGGCACATAAGTCAAACACACAACCTGTCACTGACGGACAATTTGACAAGTGGGCACATTGTGTTCATACGTAGGAACAGACAGAATCACAGACAAACAGGTAGACAGGGGGTGTCGTGTCATGGCGTCAATGGACAGCACCGGTTCAAGTGTCTCTGGGCGGCTGAGATCAGGGGATCTGCTCCATGCTGGACTGGCAGTTGTGTTGCTGCTTGGTGAGTTATACTCCTTTCTGTACCTTAGGATGACATGTCGTTCCTACACAACAGAAAACCATTGTTTCTCTGTTCATATGTAAAATATGTTAAAGCCAACTTATTGCAAGGTTAAGAGAGTCTAATTTTCCTTTGTCAAAACTCATCTGTTTGCCTCCCATATATTTGTTAATGTAGGTGTGTGTGTGTGTGGGGGGGGGGGGGGGGGGGGCTGAAAGTCGATACAGGAAAAGCACGGCTTTCTAACATGAACTGTCCTACCGCCTCCACTTCAGCATTCACGCCAAAGCTTCGTGTCCTCACCGACTGACTAAAGTATGCAGCTGGGGATGTCTGCTTGTTTAAAATCAAAGGACAATGGGGTCAAAAATACAGAACTTTTGACTGATCTGAATTTAGACCCTGGCTACTTGATGTGACAGCTGACTCATTAAGTGTTTTCAGTGGACATAGTTGAAAAACGCATTTCAGTTTTCAAAACTGAGTTACAAAAGGGAAACAATTAAATTAAGAAAATAACTATTGATTGATATCCACACACGGCTGACAGAGTATGCATTACTGGTAGTGACGTAGCAGTGCAGCGATGATCCAAGTCTTGGTCCATTCCCTCCATGATTTTGTTGTAGTGGCCAGTAATAGCCACCATGTTCCAGCTCAGAAAGTTGAGAAATTTTAATTTTTCTGAAACATAAAGAAAATATTAAAGTTTTGCACCATAAAAAGTAAAAGATTGAAATAACATAACTGTAATACTAACTGAGGAAGCTGCAGTTTATTTAACGTACTCATAAATAAAGAATGGAGATCAGAGATACACAGCTCACATGGGACGTTACTTCTAATTCACACAGACATACACATTTTGGACAGTATCAGAAAAATCCCCTAGAAATGTGGGGTCTGGGACATAAATTTCATAATATTCATGTAAAAATAAATAAATGTCATGTTTTGGCCTCTACACACCTTGAAATGCTATCATCACAATGCTTTGAACCTGAAATAACAGAGGGCTTAGGAATTCAAATCATGTATAGGGAGGCGACAAAGAAAATAACAGAAGAAGAGAACATTTAAAAACATGTTTTGTTTGGTTAGGAAAGGTCCAGAGTGAAATTACTTAGAAGTGATTAACTGAACAGCTGTGATAAGAGCTGGTCAAATTCTCAAGCACGTTAATACAAAGTTGCTCAATGCCTCTTTAATTAGCTCTTTGACATATCAAATAATTTCTTTTTCAATTTCCCTTTACAGCCTAATTGGAATTTATGCAAATAAAAGTTCTGGATGGTAGAAAACAGGGTCAGCACTTTGAGTTTGCTTTAAAAAAATCAACTGTCAGTGAAACATGTTCACATTACTTTTTAAATTGCCCACCTTTTGCAGCCTTTCTTACCCAACCTTTTCCATACCAATATAATTCTGTTTAGAGTGATGGGAAGCTGGTGCAAATCTCAGCAGTTGATGGGCAAGCTCTCACTCTGAAGTAATATTTAACCAACACATTTAGCATAATAAATACTCAGTGGCACAACTCTTTCAGAAAGAACACGAATAGATAACGTCATTATTCAAATGACCTAAAAGTACAATACATACAAATGAAGTAAGACTGACATCCTGTGGTCAAATTTGATTACAAAGTGACTTTCTCACTGCTGTTCGGTGAGTTTTATAGATTTATGGAGTTTTGGATCATCACCAGAAGATTCTAGATGACAAACAAAGATGAGTCATACACAGTAAGTTGATAAGTAGATGAACGCATTGTCATATCTGGTGTTGGCACCAGAGACGGGAATTGTAGCATCAACAAGTCAACTCCATATCGTGATTTTGTTCTGCTCAGAAATGGAACAAGGTCAATTCATTGTGCTCTTTTAAATTACCTGGTTTAGTTGCTGAACTGAAGAAAAAACAGTATGGAGATAACTTGTTGATGTCACAATTCCCCATTTTTGGTTAGCACTATTGGGTGTTTTACGGTAGGGAGCACTTTCTTCACTTACTATGGTAATATTTATCCTGCATTAGAGAAAGTGTGGTTGTTTGCCGTCTTGCTGTTAGCTTGCTGGTCTACTTCTAAATGACTCATTAAAGGAAGTAAAATGCCACGACTGACTCATTATTAACTTCACACAGGCTGGTAATTGAAAAATTAGCTTGAGAAATTTTTAGAGCCGACTATTTGCTTCCAAATCACTGTTAGCATTGTTAAATCAACGTTAGCCCCTAGCCTTCTTCACATGATATTAGAGTGAATCAAAAGAATAATGTAGCTTCTTACAATAAATAACTTCCGGTCACTGCTGTTTACTGGCTTCGGTTTTACAACTCTGGAGCATTTTTTCCTGCCAGTGTCAAATTACAAATGTGGGTTAGCTGCAGAGTTAGCTTGGTGCAAACTAGGCAACCTCACAAACTTAGATTGTAAAAAAAGAAAAACTATGTCCATCTTTCATTTTCTTTTGAAAGGAGAAAATCTGACAGGCTAAGAATTAAATCTGATTTAAAGTAACCTTCCTTCCAACATGATTGACTACGTTTACATGCAGCCAATATCCGGGTTATGATCGTGTTAAGGTCGGTATTCGGGTTTCTGAGTTGATCAGAATAACCCGTTTACGAGCATAAATAGAAATAGTTACCTCTAACTTGCATAACCCGATTTAAATGTGGACGTTGGGGTAGCGTCACGACGTGTGGACTACGTCCAGATGCAATATGCCTCATTTCCTGTTCTTCTTGTTCCGGGATCCGTGAAAACAACAACATGTTTCCCAGTTCGGAAGAGATAGCGACCACGTTTGTTTGTGCTTTAGTTTCTTCGTCACTCCAAAAGTGTGGTGCTGTGCCGTGACTCGCCATTTTGTTCCTAACTTGTTGTTTACTTCCGGTGTTCTGGCGCATACAAGACGTCTCGCTACTCAAAAGACCAAGATTCCTTGCGAACAGAGCATGCGCAGAACACACGCTTTGATGGAGATATCCCGATATTCGTTTACACGACCAAACATTCGGGTTAGAAAAGGGTTACCCCAGGTGTAGTAACCGGGTTTTTAAAAACCCGGTTATGAGCATATCCGGGTTTTTGGCGGTGTTTACATGGACCTGCGGAACCGGGTTATTGTGAATATTCGGGTTTTAAAAGGGTTACTGGCTGCATGTAAACGCACTGAATGAGACATTGGACCAGGGGTGCCCAATCCTGGTCCAGGAGGGCCTGTATCCAGCAGGTTTTGTGTTTTTTCTGCTCCAACAGACTTGACTCAATGGTTGAAACACCTGTGCACCAGCTCATCAGGCTCTGCAGAAGCATGTTATTAGCTGCTGATTGAAATCAGGTGTGTTGAAAGAGAGTTAAAACTAAAACATGCAGGACACTGACCCTCCAGGACCAGGATTGGGCACCCCTGCATTAGACTGTTTTGTGTTTATGTCACTGTATAATGTGTCGTGAGACTGGGACTGGGAGATCGGCATTCAAATCCCAGTCAGGTCATACCAAAGACTTTGAAATGGGACCCAATGCTCCCTGCTTGACACTCGGGGTTGGATTGGGGGGTTAAACCACCAAATAGATCCTGAGTGTGACCACAGCTGCAGCTCTCTGCACCCATGGGGATGGGTCAAATGTGGAGATGAACTTCACCAGTATGTGATGACTAATGTGACTTTAACTTTAACAAGTTCAAATGAAAAAACAAATCAAAAGATATGTAAAAAAATAAAGGGATGTTTTATTTTATTTTATTTACTTTAAGTGAGAATGTAAACTTTATAAAAGTTTTACAAATTTAGCAGCAGGTGCTATGGCTTTTGGAGGACAGTATACAATGATTAGTGAGAAGCTTATTCTAGTAAAAGTCTTAGAAGGAAGCATTATTTAATGGATGGGGGGTGGGGGCTAATTCTGCACTCACTGTCTAGGTCTTGGTCAAGAGGGCAGTAGCCACAATAGAGAAGCACAGGTTGCCCCCCCCCTGCCATTTTCACCAACTTCAATTCCTAGGCCAACCTAATTCATCTAGCTAGTTCTGGGATTCATCACCCAGAAGGTGTCTAAGGAGTGTTCTGACCAGATCTATAAACCACCTCAGCTGGTTCCTCTTGATATGGAGGAGCATCTTCTCTAACCTGAGCCCCTCCTAGAAGTCTGAGCTGAACTGATGGTCCACAAAAATAAACAATCAATGATGAACAAGTGCCTACTTCTGGACCTGCAAAAAAAGAGAAAAACCAAAAAGAAAAAAAAAAGAAGGAGACACACAACAATACAGCTAGAACAAGCTATCACTGCATCAACCTGATGAGGAAATATAAAATCAACATTGTTTTACTGAACAATCACACAATAATAAATCACAGTGCATTTAGTGCCAACCACAGCCTTAAGACGTGTTGAAAATGCCCAAGTCCATACTTGTGAGAGCACCTGTGTGTGCACACATGCTTGTATATGTAAGGTTTCTCTATAGGAGCGTTCAATAGAGAGTATGAGGGGCCACAGATCTGCCCCCCAAAGATGTGTAGGAGATGGAGGGAGCTCCAAGTCCCAGAGATCCAGGAGCTGCCCCAGAGTGCAGGGACCCCAGGGAGACTGTAACCAGAAAAGCCCCAGCACCCTCTGGAAAGGCGCAGAGGATTGCCCCGGGGGGTCACAACCAGCAGCCGGCAGAGTCCCGGGAGATATCAGCGGCAAGCCCACAGGCCTGCCCGCAGCCTCCCATGCCCAAACCGGCTGAGCCCGGAACCCAGCGACCCGGGACCCCGGGGCGACCAGCCCCGCCAGGGACCCAGCAGTGCCCAGGGACTCAGATCCCACCAGGCAGCCACCGGGATCGATCAGGCAGACTCCAAAAATCTTAAATCCCCTGACCTGGGAGCCGCAAATACCTCATGCAGACCAAGGCAGCATACTCCACACCAAATGTGGCAGGGGGAGGGTAGGCGAAGATGTGTCGCAGCACAACAACTCCCAGGAGACGGGAGGAGTCCAAGACCCCAGCTGACATATACAGTAATATACAGACACAGTCCCTCCCTCCCTCCCTCATGCTCACACATACACATACAACCTAAGACCTACAAAAATGAACACTAGACACGCAGTCCCGCTCCCCATACACACCCTTTTCACTCTGGTCCCGGTGCTGCTGCACAAGGGGTACAACCATCACCGGTTCCTAGAGGTCGACCCTTTCTGCTGGGGTGCTGATGAGCAGGCACCACAGGCCAACGCTGAGCAAAGCATGCCACCAGCCCAGACCCCAACATGACAGCCAGCTCCCCCTCCTAGCCTCCAGCCCTGGGAAGCCAAGCGACAACAGAGGTGTGCTAAGACCCCCTAGTCTACCACCGCCTGCTCCAACTCAAAACATGTCTAAAGCGTGTCTGTCCTCTCTTTGCAGTCCTTAAAGTTTAAATTTTGCATCACAAAATAATGTGTATTTAAAATTAAGTTATTTGTCAAAATGTTCCTTCTTTTATTCCACACACTTATTTTTATTATTGAGTATTTAACTCATTTGGGTTTTATCTCTTTTTGTTTTTTCTTAAGCTTCATCACTTTTAATTCCAAGTCTGATTTTTTTTGTCAACCTAAAAAGCAATTCAGTTATACTATCTAAACAACAAAAAACATATCTTTATAAATAAACCATAACAAGGCACACAACGATCTAAATGATTTAAAACATCAGGTTGACTAATGTGAGAAATCAACAAAATAGAGTAAAAGAAATGTAAATTTGTTTCTTCTACCTTTAGTTGTTTATAGTTTAGTTAATTATTGTTACCTATTCTTTATTTTTAAACCACATAATTTTTCAGATAACTTTATATTTCTATCCATCAAATTGAGCTATTTTAACAAATTACATTAGCTGCACTAGAGTAATTTTCGTGATGACTACTTTTCACTTCTACTTGAACAAATGTATACTAATATAATATTACTCAGTACAATCCTACCCACCCTTAATCAGTTATTTAGTAGTGTGCATCTAAACGTGACAATCATGTTGTTAAATGTTTGCACACGTGTCATCTTACCTTCATTTAGTTTGTTTATGTGAAGTGTAAGCGTGAACCTACATTGTTCGACATCAGCAGCTCCTGTGACTGAGTTACTCAGCCGCTGATGTAATTCCCTGCTCTGCTGTCACCCTCATGGGCTCGACACACTTCCTTTACACTGTAGCTCCTCAATTTGCTTCACCCCTCCATACTCAACACATACTTTACTCATCTCCTCGTTTTTTTTTTCTCATGGAGGTAACAGTGTCCTCTGTCAGTTCTCTATGGGTTCATTCTCAAATGCATTAACCCTTCCCTCACTGGCCTTCTTATAAAGAAGAAAAAAGGAAGAAAAAATCACCTTCACAATCAGCCAAGGGCATGCACACATAGACACACTTTCAGTTGCTTTTCCCACCAGCGATTCAGATATTGATGTTTCCCAACTGGGACAAGGAGATACTTGATAGTGGAGCTAAAAATATCAAACATGCCAGCCGGTTACTCATGTACGCACGCTCATAAGTGTGAATATCAGTGCTCCCTGCTCAAACATGAGTTCACACACATACATAGCCACATACTGTAAGGCATACAAAACTAGAATGTTAAAATGAAAGTGTTGTAAAGTCGGGACATATCGCTGCAAAGAAAAGGGAAACTTGCAGGTTAGTACAGGAGCACATATAAAATAATGAGACTGTACCAAGGTGAAAAGTAATGGTGGCATGGAGTCTATTTCTAGATATGAGAGTGGACACTCTTACCTAGACATGTAAACACTCAAACATGGTCTTGATGATGAGAATGTACTGTGTAAAATGAGATCACCACTAGTGTTCTCAAAAGAGTCTCAAAAGTCTTGTTCAGCAACTAGGCTTCAAAAAGAGCCCTGTGTGTGAGTAATTACACATTTACTACAAAATGTGACTGCATCTTGTAATTGGTTATATTGGGTTTGCATTACAATATTCTGTTTCACCCTCTGGTTAGTAAACACTTTGATTGAAAAGCTTACATTTTGACTTTTTTGTCTGTTTGAACGTTAGCTAAAGGCTTTTAATGTACAGTAAGATTAAAACAAATGTTAAAGTAATTTTTCATGCCCGGCAGCATTTTGTTTCTTTTAGGTCATTTTCAACCATTTCAGATTTATAGTAAATGCAAAAAGAAGCAGGTGTTTGATTTCCACCATGTTGAATCGTTGGATTTGCGCCAAGATGGTATCAAACAGCATCAGATTGTCCACTGTTGTCTTCCTTCACTGCAATATAAGGAAAAGGTTGGTATATTAAGCTGATTTTTGTAAAATAAATAAATACATAAACTGCCTTAAAGACACATTGAGGCCAATAGTAAAAAGGTTGCAGTGGTAAGAAAAAAAAAGATTAATATAATCAGTTTGGCAATAAAATGCAGTACATTTCCTAAACAGCAGGTGTCACTATACAAATATTAAAGCAGCTGCAGGAAAATACAATTTTACAGGAAGTACATTTTTAGATGAACATAAAATCTATTTTAATGTAAACCATAATTTGTAAGGTAGTAATTAAACCATTATATCATTATTTTGGAGTTCCTTTATGATCAAATTACCACCCAACACTTAGTAATGTAGTTTAAATACTTGCTTAGATATGCTTTGAAAAAAAAATGGTCATAGCTGATTTGAATATATAAATGTGTTTGCTCCACTGCGTGTAAGCAAAAAATAAATAAATAAATAAAACTGCTTATAATAATAACTAGCTTGTATAAATATAAAAGTTAAATAGGCTATTGAACCAATTCTGGTAAAAGCAAGCAACGCTGTGCTACACGTGTCGAATTTGCATCAATTGCACTAATTAGCAATTACAAATCAATTAGTAATATAAATAAATTGTTGAATGCACTATGATGTATTAAAACATGTCACAATATCTAAGAAGAGGTTTAACATCAGCTCTCAGGAGTCAAATGTCCATCAAGATGTTATAAAGAACCAATCTGTGCTCATGTGATCTTTTCCAACATACATGTTCATGAACAGCTTCCACAGAAATACAGACAGCATTTCTGCTGACCACGTCCTGGTGCAATGTGATCCTGAGCAGGTCAGTGTCAAGGGGAGCGTTTATGCACTTATAAATAGACCCAGAGTATGGGAGAGACATCAGAGAAACAGTCTAAGAATTACACCAGCTGTCGATGCAAAACCAACATCACATAACTTTCAAATCCAAATACCTAAAAAAGTTAAGTCATTTGTTTGCAATACATACCACAAAATAACAAGTTTGCAATACAAATTTGAGTTAATGTGACATGTTTAGTCACATTTGATCTTCTGAGTACAAAGCACAAATCTCAATTTAGTCAGACAACTTGGAGTTCCTAAACATTTCTGAAGCTTCAGTTCCTTTCAAGAGAGCCTACAATTGAAAAAAAAACATGGTGTTCGTGTGGTTCACAGAGCATCATTTGAACTTCCCTAAGACGACTTAAGACATTATAGACTCAGTGGCTCCCTAATTTGAAATGTGAGATTCTTTAATACAGTTAAATACTGTTTCCTTGGTACCTAAAAAACCTCCAAGATTTGCTTTCATCATTTCCATTTGCCATCCCCTCAGATACTGTTCACAGTGAATAAAATATAGAGTATGGTTTTTCAGTAATGTGTGCTGATTAAGTCTAATTTAAAGCAGAAATACTTTCTGAGACAGAAAATCTGGGTTTTTCGTCTCTCAATGGCAGTTTGATCCGTTGTTTTGGTATTATTATTTGGTTGTACACTAAATGCTTCCAAAAGACATATATCCACACACGCACGCACACACACACACACACACACACACACACACACACACACACACACACACACACACACACACACATTCTTGCATCTGTACCCATGTTAGGACTTCGTATTGACTTCCATTCATTTTAGTGGGTCCACTATGCCTAACCCTAACTCTGACCCTAACCAGTGTATTCCTAAAGTTTTCTGTAGCAAAAACTCAAGGGTGTTGGTCCTAACAAGGATAATCCGTTGTAAGAAGGTTAGTAAACATCCCAAATCCGGTCTTCACAAGGGTACAAATCCCCCCCCCCCCCCACACACACACACACACACACATATTTATAAAGCATTGCTTCTACCCTTTTCTATCTCTTTTCCCTTTTATTTTAGGTGTATGGTGTGTAGATGGACTGGAGGTTTCAACAGGCAAAGTGTCATCCATTGAAGCAATGAATGGCTCCACAGTTATGCTTCCTTGCACATATTCCTCTTGTATTGGCATCCAAAACCTCTACTTCAACTGGAAATTCAATGACAATGGGACTCTTGTAAAGGTATGACTAAAATGTGCTCACACAAGTGCAATATAACAAAAACAACTGGAAGTAGCTTTCAAACTTAGGAAGTAATTCAGGTTTATGGAGAATCAGCTCTTTAAGTCTGAATGCATCCTATTAGTGTATCAATCTATAAATCACCCTACATGTGAAATTATATCACTAGGGTAGAAGGGTTAGATTGTTTAGCACTTGAACCATTGTCAATATGAATGATAAATCATCATTGTAACAGCTGTGTTTGATGGTAAAATTTAATGGCCACCTTTCCTGAAGTAATTCTTTGTGAAGTACATAACTCAGTGATTTGATGGGAACACATCTTAGTATCTTAAGTAATGTGCAACATCTTTTTGAATGTTTTGGGTGAATAAATGCCCTGGGCCATGTTTTGGCTTCGTTTTTTGCTCTTGACTTGCAAATGTGAAATGTGTTATGAGCTCATACCATAAAATAAATTCTCAAAACACATCAATTTATACATCAATTAGTTGGTTGGAATGTAAAGCACCAAAGGTGGGAAATTACTAGACTGAATATTTGTTTAAGGCACTGCTTTTCTTTGACAAGGTGTATATAAGCCATACAACCCAATGTTGTGTCCAGTTATGTGAAGCAGAGATTCCCACTGAGAAGGTGGAGCCCAAGGTTCGTGTTTTCCATGACCGTGTCGAGTTCATTGGCTCCTCAAAGACCAACAACATCTCCATCTTGTTGTGGAACATAACTTTTGAGGATGAAGGAGAGTACATCTGTTTTGCCAGAAATCCAAAAGAGAAGAATCGCAACCACAGTGCCATCTACACCCTTATAGTTGTCAACCAACGTATGTGAAGATTCACTCACTTGCATGAAACTGAAACACAAGTATAGAATTTTTTTATGTCACCCAAAGACAGTGCTGTTACAACAAAGCTGATCTACTAGACTTTTACCCCTCATGTAACCCTTTGCCTTAATGCCTTCTCTTTCCTTGTCTCCAGTGAAGGAGGTTGACAATACGCTGACTGTTATTATCGTCTCAGCCCTGGGTGGAGTCATTGGCTTCGTTATCATCATCATGGTTATAAAGGCAGTGGTTGTCCATGTCCTACGCAAGGATAGCGAGAAGACGTGAGTATATCAGTGACAGCATGGGCCTTGAGCATGATATCTTACTTGTCATTGCCCGCTTGCCTGATGTGGCAATCTATTTGTAAACATATGTAAAGCATTTTATTAAAATACTGTGAAGGGACTATTTTCTCAGCTGGCCTTGGAGCATTTAAGGATTCTGCTGGAGGGACTGGCCCAACTTAGCTTAAAAATCTAGACCAACTATAGCAGTAGCAATAGATTTTGCTTTGCAGGTCGGCCTAGCCCAAAGGTTTTGTGTCTTGCCAAGGACAGCGCTCTAGGTTTGTTGGGTGGGCTTCACTCTAAAGCTTAATACTACAAAGATGGCATTGGTTCAGGAATGATGCTCATTCAGAAAAGCTTGTTCATCAATGTTGAATGGTTTTGATTGGGCTTATCTTTGAGACATGAGCAGATAGAGGTTCTTAAGTATTTTATTTGGACAAAGGATCATTTTCTTCCATAATGAATGTCGGACTGCCCAACTGACTGATTTCCGTAGTGATGACTATGTCACGTTGGTCGTCTCTCCCATCGGTGCCAGTGCTGTCCAATTGCCTGCGGAGACAGTTTGAAAGACAACAGTAGATTCTGCCCCACAATTGTGTGGTTTCAATGGCTCATGACCAGACTATATCTACATACATAGGATGGCTTTCCAGGTTAGACCCAAGTGGCTGGGGAGATGGAAGTCTGGGCCTTTCTTTTTAGGATGATGCCCCCACGAACCGACCATAGACAAGTGGAAGACAATGGATGGAAATTAAATTATGTCATGCAATTAAATTATGATAAAGTAACAACTAAAAATATTCACTAGTTGTTTATTTACTTGATCTTTTTTGTTTTGCTACGACCTTTTTGCTTTAGATGAGTTATTTGCTGTTAGATAATAAAAACCCTCCATTTCATTCCCAAAGTGTCATGACAAAAACATAAGTATTAGAGGAAGTTTTTGTTATTGTTTCAGACGCCTACTTTTGCACTCACAAAATAAAGTTATATAATGAGAATTATATTCTCTGTATGGCTTTTACTGCATCTTAACCTTTTGTTTTAATGCTATCTGTAGGAAAGAGTGCCTGGTGACCTCCTCAGGGAATGACAACACAGAAAACGGACTTTCAGGAGCCAAAGCTGACAACAAAGGGACAGCAAAGGCTTAAGTGAAATTTGAAGTCTACATTTGTAAATAATGTCAAAAATGGAAATGCTTGAAGAAATAGTTTAATGGAGTGTTTTATTTTAGTAGAATCTAAATGATGCAACTACCAAGTGTCTAGTTTAAATCATGCTTGAGAATTGAGAGTGTGAAATGTGCAAAGGGGCTGGATCTCTCTCTTACTAATGTGAAAGCTCATATGTTACAGTGTGTTGCCAGTTCTAGAATTCCATGTTTGACTAAAACCACACACATTTATATAACCAAACCTCCACTGCTTGGGATTTCAAGTCCCTTAGCTTTCATAGCTTTTTTTTTTGGGCCAATTAGAGTTGGGGTAATTTCAGTTTTAATTACCCCTGTTTACAGATCTTGTTATGGAATCTTAAGGTTGAACCTTTTCATAAATTCAGGCCCAAGCAACTATTTTAATGAACAATAGGAACACACACACACACACACACACCCACCCACACACACACACACACAAACACACACACACACACACACACACATTGGTTTAATGGATTGCCAATCTTTGAACTGCCTTGATCAACAGCACAAATAAATGCATATCTAAAAATTAACTCATAAGCCTACTTTAGTTATCAAACATATTTAGTTCATAGTTCAAGCTTGAAAATGTTATTTGCTCTTGAGGACTAGAATCTTTGCACATTTTTAAAGGTTGTAAGCTTTTTTCAAAAGCTCCTTGATCATGTCAGATTTTATATTCATGCATGTTTAAAGCTACAATGGCAAATGTTAGAAAGAAGCTAGCTTAAACCATTTTTCCTGCTTTTTAACAATGTTCTAACATTGTGGAGCTATACAGATTTTTTGGTGAATAATCCAAAAATAAAAGGAATTCTCTTACACCTCAACCAACAAAATGGCTCGGCCCGCAACCAACGATTGGACCATCCGGTTGTTGGTCTAACTGAATTGCCACACTTCTGCATTTACCTGAGTCCTCCACTCATTAAGCTACATATTTGCAACAGCCTAACTGGACTAACTACCAGAGTCCCAAAGAGAAAAACAAAACACCATTTAAAGTCATGGACAATAAGACATTTGGACCTAGAAAACTGTGATTGTGTTTAACGTTCTCTCGTTTCCTCTGGCAATGCATGCTCCCATATCGGGGGTGTGTGGCTAAAGGTTGGTTTAAGCTTGACGCGTCCGCGAGGTCCGCGTGGAAAAGTTGCATCATTTTGCGTCATCTTAACAACCACGCCCCTCCACCGTGCCTCCGCACGGCCCAAAATTTCCGCAACGCGCACCTAGGAAATTTTCTGACCACGCGGACGGTCGGACACGGAAAAACATGGCGGACCGGCAAGAACTAGTATGGCAGAGGTTTGTAAATACAGACATTTGTATGATTCAGCTCTCAGAGATCACCGTGATCAACATGTTGTTAATAATTCTTGGAGAGAAATAGCTCGCACTGTCGGAAAAGAGGAGGACGCTGTTAAAACTGCTGGAATGCCATGTTGTAAACAACAGTTTTTACTTAGTTTTTAGTGTTGGATGCATGCTGTAGAGCTCCATGCTGCCCCCTACAGTTTGGGAGAATATTGGCTCACCGCAGAGACAAGCCGCATGAACCATAAACACTGCGAGTTGTGAAGCGCGTTCCAGCCGCGAGCCGCATCCCCGCGCGGAAAGTGAATGCGTCAAGCATAAACCAAGCTTTATAGGGATGATAGTCAGAAGATGAGGTGAGAGTTCTGTGACCATGTTTTCTTTTAAGAGCTAGCTTTTTTGCAGAATTGCTATTGTAGTTTTAATGTTTATAAGAAATAATGGCCAAACCTCTGGCTAGCCAAGGTTGACAGCTGGGCTTTCCTACAGTGATAGAAGGATCCAATTTTGCACAGATTTTATTGTTTTGCTTTAGATAAACACAGGTGCCTGTTATGCTTCTGTTCCCTTAGCTGATGGGAGTATAAATGCATAAAGAAAAAAAAACAACAAAAAAAACACATAATCCTCATCAAAGACAATCCCGGATTACCCAGCTCCCTGTGGAAAGGAATGAACCTAATCATGCTGCTTCAGACTATTAACTAGCGTGTTTTTGGCATGTGCACATTTTCTATAACTTTATATGAGTATATGTTGCACCATGATACAAATGCCTGACTTCATGTCTCATTACATCCTCATTTAATCTTTCAAAGCAGCTTGAAATGCGTGAAACTCCATGGAACCACCAACACTGCAACAAATTAACTTTGAGCAGATCTGCATGATCAAATGGGAGCTTTAACACTTGTGTTCTCGAAGATTATTCTAATCAAAATAGCTGGAAGAAAATTTACAAGGATTCAAAATGTAAAAATGTTTTAATACGTACCACATTTAGTTGTAGTTGAATAACTTATTTAGAGATTTTGGCATTTTGCAATTTTAGAGTAAAAAAATCAAAAATATTCAACGAGGGTGATGAGAAATTTGGATTTAGCAGCCTTTTAAAGTTGTTGCTGAAAATAATGAATTTAATTAACTAAATATCAAAAAAATACCAGAATACAATTATAATTGTTACTGATATAAAAAAAATAATTAGCAAAGGCATGGATCAACTAAGAATGTCGGCATTTGACCACAGGGCCAGTGTAGGATTTGTGTTTAAATACAGAATTGTTCCAGTACTAATAGTTTCAGTGGGTCTACTTAGTCTCATTTATTTTAAATGTTGTTTTTAAATGAGTGAAATGACTCATATTATAATAATGGTTGAAATTCAAAAAATGCATTTGATAGTGAGTTCAGAATTTCCTTCATTCCTTTTTCAGCACATGCTACACCTTTATATATATATATATATATATATATATATATATATATATATATATATATATATATATATATATATATATATAAAATAAAATGAATTAAGTTTTGCAGTTCTTGGCTGCAACTTTCAATGCAATGGTTAAAAATGTTCACACTGTCTTCCTTATTGGGTACGTGTAAATAAAGGAGAGTTAGAAGAAAGGAGAGTGTCGGCAACATGGGTAATCAACCTATGTTGTAATTTTTACAGGTTTTAAGTACTTTAAAGTGTTAAAAGCAATTGTTTTATATAGTTTCTCTGTCATGGTATCTCTAATGTCACCTTTTTGGAACAATTTCGAAAAGAATGCATTAGCCAAAGTACTTGATGTGCTGCTATTTTTTCTGAGTCTGGTCACATCATTGCAAAGCTGCATCATAGCTCAGTGCAATAATGGCAGCATTCATTTTGCTGTACACTTGTTTTCATTTAAGTGTTAGTATTTTTCCATTTTATTTGAACATTTAATCTGTCAGTGTAAAATCTCTGTCATGTCAATCTGGTAATTGGTTGAATTGAAGGCAGGAGGATTTTTCCCTTTTGTTTCATAAAACTCCTCCATGAATCAGTAAAAACCAAAGCATTTTTTGGTCCCGTTGCCTTCGGTTCAGTTATTTAAAACCTATACTGCCTTTACCCCAATTGTTTTCCCATGAGGTAAAGTAAAACAGCATAGGTGGCAAAAGGGCCACTTCTTTCAAATTAACTCCTCTTTGTTGTTGGGATTTCACTGGTTTGCAACTGTTGGTAACCAGTTAGCAGTGTTAGCTAAATGTGCACTTTACTACTTTATGTAGCTATTTATTTCTTCCCGAAAACAACTTATTTAGAGTCTTTTCTGGTGTTATCTTGGACTAATCCTGCCGTCTGAAACTATTTTCTTCTCCAGCTGGCTTTCTCCCTGAGTACAACTTACTGGGCATCCACTCCTACTAGAGACCACTGCAAAAGTATTGATTGAAGGTGTGAACCACACTTTTAAGGTCTGATTACTACGAACATTTAACAGTTTTTATGCTAATTGGTTGTTCTTGTGTGAGAAGTATAAAACAAACAAACAAAGGCAGCATTAAATAAAATAGACCAACATTTCAAATGATTGGGACTTCTTGCTCTACTGTTTAATGCAACAAATATTTAATCACAGCATGAGTTAATATTGGATTATTATAGATGTTTAAATTGTGCAACGGCACCCATTATTTATTTCTTACAGTATGAGGTCACTGAAAGGCAAATTTACAATTTCCCCAGCTGATTTGATGGACACAGATCTTAATGTTTAGCTAAAGTTCCCCAACTTTTATCCAAAAGGAAAATACCCTGTCCTTACATCAGACTGACCTGATAGAAGTCCAATGAAAAATCCCATGTCTGTTTACGGTGCTGGTGGCAACCAGATATTCAAGTTTCAAAAACAAGCATTTTTACATTTTGTCTAACATTTTCAAAATGAGAGTAAAAATTATTTTTTAATGGTAATGTTTCAGTTTTTCCTCATTTCTGGTATCAGCTTGCTGCTCTCTTACACTGGAATGTGCTTAGCCCATCTTGCTTTCAAAGGAAGCAAAAAGGCAGACATCCTGTTATGCAATAACCTGTTACAAGGCACTTTATCGATGTGTCCGGACTGGCTGGCAACGTTCTCTGTCCAAGGCGCATCTCGTTCTACTGGTGTATGCGTCTAAAACACTCAAATGTGTCTCAGACTATTGTATTGACGTTAGGATCATATCTCTTCTTTGGACAGAACAAACTTCCTTTCATTTACATTTTGCATGACATTTCCTGTGCAGATGCTCATTGAGAACATCAACACTGAGCCTCGTGATCGAAATTCCTTCACACACTGACTGACCACTTGATTGTTTCATGAGCTTGTAGTTGGCATTGATTATTATATGTTTGATTGAAATGCACCTACAGCTGCCATGTGAATGGCTTTAAAAGGTTGAAATCTGACTGCCACCCATCAAACACCATCCAAGACAACTCGTGTCCTTTTCTTTTCATGTCATAAATGTATTGCAATGGTTTCTGTTTAAATTAACAGCAACCCACCATCCTCCTCATCATGGTGAACAGTTATACCAGCCTAAAATAGGTCCACCAACTCCAACTCGCCATTTTAAGTGTGAAGCAGATCCTGTTTGGCAGCATGTGATGAAAGGGTTGAAAGGACCTTTGGTTGTCTTGAATGTCATGAGGAAACAGATGTCTTCACTTGAATACCATCTGGGTAAATGTGACTCCGACTGTCCTAAATTGGTTCAAGCAATCAGATTTCATTCAGTGAACAGATACAAAACGCACTTCTAAACAAAAATGATAAAGAGTAAAATGAGACACAAAATGGTTTGAAATGACGCTTGCTAGTAAATTAAATTCAAGTGCACACCATGTTTTAAATGGATTTCTATTTCTGAGTGTAAATGGAATCAGAATTCAACAACGGTGCAATGTTTTAAGTACTACTGTGTCCTTGTTTGTTGTGCTCTCAAAATGTGAAATGGATGCAGGGAAGACACACACACACACACACACACACACACACACACACACACACACACACACACACACACACACACACACACACACACACACACACACACTAAATTTACATATCCATCAGTACTGTTCTATTATTTATGCATTTTATAAGAAAAAGCAATATATTAGAGTTAACATGTACTAATATTACCTAAAAGTAAAATAGCACAGCAATTCTATTTGCAAGTTTCTGGTTTTGAGTAAAATAAAAAATCTGATAATAGGGTAAGCAAATTTGACTAAGTTAATTTTTTTCTAAACTGGCAAATAAATCCAAAATTGGATGTTCTGATAATATTTTTCTTATTCATTTCCTTTCTTCACATTTTTAGTATTTTTTTTTATAAATTTTGTTCTTGTGAATCCTCTCATGATTTTTATCCTGAGAGGTGCTATATAAAGGATTATTTCTTCTACTTTTGCTAGTTTTAAGAACTCTAGTCTAGCAACTTTTGCTTACCCCATTGGGCAGTCAGTTTTAATCAAAGGACATTTGAACATATTTAGAATTATTAGCTGTTTTTGTAAATAAGAACATTTTTCTTTCTAGACTTAACAATAAGACAAACTGTCTAAAACTTTTTTTGCAGATCTGACTAGAAATCTGGGTCAACGTATATTGGATAGGTGACCACAAGATAAAACTAAGCTTACTGGTTTAAAGTGTTTAAACTAGTTCTCTTTGTCGTATTGTTTCCATGGTAAACTAACATTGTACTAACGTTTGAAATCCAAGTTTAATTTTGTCTCAGACATTCTGATCGGCCTTGTCTCCTATTCTCAAGCTCACAAGACTCTTGAGATCAGCTGCTGGCAGTGAATTCTGCAGTACAGAAAATGTACTCTGTAAATCGCTCTTGTGAAGTAGAGTAAAACAGCACAGAAACAACACGCTGACTGCCACCTAGTGGTAAGCATACTGGCTAACCCTTGTAGTTTAGATACACCTGCTGTGTGCATTGTTTATTAATTAGTTTAACTAGAAAGGCAGAAAATTTAAAAGAATTTCATGCTGCAAAATAAACTATAAATTTAATAATCTATGTGAGGAAAATGGCAACATTTTCCACATCCGTGCATTAATATGCACATTGCTACATTCCTTGCTGTTGCTTTTTGAGAGCAGTTAGTTAGATTAGGTAAAATACATACATATATCTCTTTGCCAATTAAAGGGGATATAAACATTTGAAAAAATAACATAAATAATGTTTACAGAACATATTAAGGAGAAAATATGTATCAACTTTGAAAGAAAATGGCTGCCATTTGACAGCTATAGTAAACATATAAAATACACTAAATTTGAGCATTAGTGTAGCATTGTTCACTATGATCGACCACTCTAATTTCTAACAAAATGTGTTGTTCTTACTGCCAGAGCGGCTGAAACTCACACTGCCAATCCAAGAGTCTCACGTCTGCTGCCGTTACATTTCTGACTCGATGACACAAATAACACAAAGTACACTTACATCACTCGATCATTTAAATACAAAACCGTAGATCTTATTTCTTTGTATAACGTCTGTGTTTGTAGCAGGTGGAACTCACACTGCCAAGCCAAAAGTTTAACAACTACTTCTGTCTCCCACATTCCACACAGCCAGTCAGCTAATCAATTGGTCAACTGCAAGAAAATGAAAAACTGCCATAATTTTGATGTCTGTTTAAAAATTACGGTAGTTCAGTGATTGAAGATGTTTTTAAGAGAGTTTTGAGTTTTCATTACGTGATGTTTCTCTAAATCGGAGAGAGAAGATATCTAGTGATGTAACATTCTGAAAAACTCTGATGAGAGTTTAGAGTGGTTTTGGACATTTTATAAAATAAGTGCTGTCATTTTTGATCAGATCAACTGAAAAGATAATCGGTGGTGAAAGTAAAACATTGACCCGGAAAATCCAACCTTGAATAAAAAGAAAAGTTTGATATGAAAACACACCGAATTGGGCTCAAACATGTGTTTCAAAATTTCTGAAAGTTGCCAAATGAATTTTGATTAATTGTTGGACATGGCAAAATGCAAGTTGAGAATAATTTGTCAATATGACATCACATGCCAAACAAACACTGGGGGCTGGAGATTTGAAAAACAAGCACAGGCCCACACCAACCTCTCCGCTCTTCTTACTGTTGTTCTGGTAAAATTGAGTTTTTCAATGTTTTTTACACATCAACAGGCTGTAAACATCCTTCTTTCCTCATAATGAATCATATATTCACATCTTGTTATAAAAGATCCAACATGTAACTTGTATAAATGCTAGAACTCAAGAGTAGGTTGAAAATTTGCAGTAAATTCCCAGTAGGTTGCTTGAGTCACTATAGTCGACTCTTTAAATAAAGCAAAGCAAACCTGCAGCTCCTGTTTTCCTGGGGAAACTTTCCTGTGAATGTTCAGCTTTCTGTCTGTCTTTGTAACTATGTTTGCTCATGCTCCTTCATGACTATGCATTTCAGAATTTTACCTTGAAACAATATACAAACTGAAAATAAAAAAAAAGATGGAATTTCCCTGTCTCATGTCTCTTTATATTGTGAGGATTATGAATGTGGTTTGTATGAGCAGGATTTTCTATGTGTGCATGACATCTCTGGGCTGTTAAATACATTGTGGCTCGTACAGAACATCACTATGCCAGGTCCCTCGATATAGCATACACATATTTATTTGACTTTTTTCATGCATTATTGCAGGGGAAACATCCTGCTGGATAGATATCAAAATACAAACAACCGATTAATTAGTACATATACTGAAATATTTCATTACTTGGTTCTTTTCTGAACACAGATTAATAGAGATTTGTTATTTACATTCTTGCTGAAAGTTTTAAACGTTTCTGCTGCATCTGCCACTAACATTGGCGACTCTGAAGGCTACAGATGTAGGAACTTCAGAACAGAATAGGAACTGAGCATGCGCTGAAGGCCGATCACCGGACACACGGCAGGCAGCGTTTGAAGCAGATGGCAGCTCGTTAACCAACTTCCACAAACAAGTAAGGCACATTTTCGCCTAATTTATTCACTGACAACGCAAAAAGAAAAATACATCTGGTAAATATAGCTCACTCAACCTGGAGGTAAGTGGAGAAAATTTAGAAAGTTTGCAAACATTTAGTTTTTGAGTTTTTTGTCATGGGACCGAAGAAATCAGCAGCTGAGACGGAAACACCTAGGACCAAGACGAGCCGTCCCCAGGACTCGCCTGAGGCTTCATCTCCGCATAAGGATGTCTTAGATTTACTAGAATCCATAGATAAACGGCTTCTGGGATTTGAGGGGCGACTCCACCTCCTCGAGGTTCTTCACAAGGAGTTCCAGAACCTCAGAGAATCTCTAGAATTCAGCCAGGAGCAAGTGGAGCGGCTCACAGCTGAGAACGCGTCTCTGCGGGAATCGGTTTCCCCCTTGACTGAAGGATTTGATCGGATCTCCCAGGTCAATAAATCTCTAAAGGAGACGGTTCTGGATCTCCAGGCACGCCGCATGAGAGATAACCTAGGTTATAACCTAGCCTGATAACCTGGTGTTTGCAGGCCTTCCAGAGCAGACCGGAGGAGAAGCAGAGGATTGCGAACAAACAATCAAGAACTTTCTCCACAACCACATAAAGATACCTGAGGAAACCGTTAAAAACATCACCTTTCATCAGGTACATGGCCTTGGAGCCAGGAGAACAGACAGCAAAAGACCTCGTCCCATCGTGGCTAAATTTGAGCATTTCAAGTAGAAAGATCTTGTTAAAAGCCGTGGGAGGGAGCTTAAAGGTAAAAACTACAGCGTGAACGATCAGTTTCCTAAAGAATTTCTGGATCGCCGCCGAGTTCTCTTCCCTCTGCGTCAGAAGTTCATCCAGGATGAGAAACAGGCTGTGATCTCCGTTGTTAAACTGTTTGTGGATAGTAAGCTCTACAAAGAACGAGGAGTAACAGACTGGCTTTATTAGACAAACGTCAGGTACATCTTTATTATTAACAGTGTTCACTGGGTTTGAACATGTCAGGATTTATTAGCTGCTAGATCCGTGTTTAGATATGTTCACCTGTTCCCTCACCACCTCACACAGTCGCGTCAGTTGTACGTTGCATTGGGATCTGCAGTCAGAAAAGGGAAAAAAAACTTTTCGCATTTAAGTGACAAAAAAGGGCACTTTTGGTGTCAGGGGTCTGACGCAGAGGGTGTCTGACCAAGCGTTTGTTTTTGACGCGCTAGGAGTGAGAATGTGTCACTGTACACTCCACCTCCCTCTACTCCCCCACTTGTCCAGATTTAGGCTAACATCAGATTTTAACCATAGACCCTATCAAATAATAATGTTTTAAGCCTATTCTTAAAAGTAGACAAAGTGTCTGCCTCACGGACTAAAGCTGGGCGTTGGTTCCACAGGAGAGGAGCTTGATAGCTAAAAGATCTGCCTCCCATCCTATTTTTAGATATTCTGGTAACCAAACCTGCCATCTGAGAGCGAAGTGCTCTGTTCGAAACATATGGAACAATCATATCACTGATGTATGATGGAGCTTGATTATTAAGAGCTTTGTATGTGAGAAGGAGGATCTTAAAATCTATTCTGAATTCAACAGGTAGCCAATGTAGGGAAGCTAAGACATGAGAGATATGATCTCTCTTTTTAATTCCCATCAGAACTCTAGCTGCAGCATTTGGGACAAGCTGAAGACTTTTAACTACATTCTGTGGACTAGAGTAATGAATTACTGTAATCCAGTCTTGATGTAATAAATGCATGAACTACGTGGAGTTGCGTGTTCTCCCCATGCATGCGTGGGTTTCCTCCGGGTACTCCGGTTTCTCCCACAGATCACAACATGCCCTATAGGTTATAAATTGTAAGTCACTTTGGATAAAAGCGTCTCCTAAATGAATAAACATAAATAAACATAAACTAGTTTTTCAGCATCAGTCCTGGAAAGGATGTTTCTAATCTTGGCAAAAAAAAGGACATCCTTTGGACCGATGAAACCAAACTAAAAATGTATTATCCTTGGTAAATAAAAATCAACTACATCACACCAAGTGTCATGGCCAGCGCCGGCGCTCCGCACATGCACACCACGCACAGCGCGTAGGGCACCACGCCGCGGGGGAGGGGCACCAAACGCAAGCTTATGAAAAAAATAATATGTATATGATACAGACAGATTTCAATTAGAAGATGTGCAAAGCAAGTTAACAGCATGTTTATAGAGAGAAAACAACACAAAACGGAAAGGAGATGGACCCTGTCGCACCGTCAACCCCCCCGCGCGGAGGATGCAGCGCAGCTGGCACAGTCATGGCTCCGAAAAGGCTGCAGGAGTACGCGGCAGTAAATAGACAAAAGAAGAAACTGCGGGATGATGCTGTTGCTTCGATTGCAGGTAAGACAAGTATTTAAATGGAAATTCTTAATTTTTTTAAATCTATTCCTAATTCTAAACACGTGTGGTCAAGTTCAGAGGGTCGTTTGACCTAGCTTAAATTCAGACTTGTTACTGCTGTTAATTAATCTGTTTATGGTCAAATTTTGCCTAGTTTGGTATAAGCATGCTGCTTTTCTGCACTTTTATTTGGTGTTTTTCGTTCTCTGCTTCCGTACATTTAACATTTTGACTCTATCTGCGTGGTTTGGGCAGATTTTGTTCTCTGCTTCTCCAGTCTGTTAAAAGTTTAATGCGCCACTCTGTCCCGCAGCCTCCCGTCCACCTACCGGGCGTTCATCAGTAGCTGAGTGAGCGAGGCTGAGAGGGAGAGAAACTCAGACAAGCTTTTTTTTTACTGCTGGAGAAAAAAACGTAGCAAGTCATCATCTTCCTAAATGCAGTTATTCTATTCTGAATCAGCACTTCTTTAAAGAAGAAGAAATAGTTAAATGCAACAAAGGGAAATATCCTTTTATTCAGCTTGTTCATGTGACTTGTATCAAAAAATAAGTCTGAACAGTGTTAAAGGTTGTTCATCTAAAAATAGACCTTTAAGAGTTTGAAGATTTTTTTGTTGTATTAAGTTCATCTTAAAACATCTTTCTCAAGTAAAATAAAGTTTCCTCTGTGAGGTCAGATAGGCCCATCTGTGCTGTCTTGAAACAGAAATAAACAAATGAATCATATTTGTCCACCCAAATACTTAAATATCACAAAAACAGGAAGGACAAAAACACCGTCAAGGTAAAGTAAGACATTTTATTTTTAAATAAGCGGCTGTTTGTGATTATCATGAGTTAACTATGATTTATATCATTATTAAATAGCCCATGTGGCCTATAGGCTATGTAACTGAGATTTAAAATGAAAAATTAGATAAACCTATTTTCTAATTAGGTATTTGCTCTATGTTAATATATATATTTCATAAACATTTACAGGCCAAGGGGACCATCAGCTGCTGATGGTATAATTTGAAGAAAAAAGTCCATTGTGCTAACCTCCTCCCTTCATATTCAGAATTTTCTAGTTGTGTATAAAATGTGTATATTGTGCCTCTCTAGTTCTTAATAAAGGTTAAATAGTTTTGAATTTAGTCATGTCACATGCCAGTGATTTATAAGCCAATATAAACCTATAAATAATCTATTGCAGTATATTTTTTTACCATGGTTTAAAACTTTAATCTTATTATAGAATGAATATGACAAATGATCTTTTTGTGTTTGAATGCAGGCTCAATGAACAAGTACATTCAAGGAGGGGCTCACGCCAAAAGTTCAGATCAGCCCTCCACCAGCAGTTCAAGAGCTCAAGATCAGTTGTCAGCCATCACGTCTGAACCTTCTACAACATCACCCAGCCCTGACCAGGAATTACAAAGTAAAGCACACCTACAGACCAAGCACAGCCCACAGCCAGCACTTCAGAAGGCAGAGTGAGTCCTGGATCTGAAAAAGCATCTGAAAATTACATTGGAGAAACACGTGTGCCACAACCGGTGCTTGTGTTGTTTGGATCTGTTACATAGTTCTAAATAATAACAATATGAAGTGTGTTGAGTATGTTATATTATGTCAATGTCAGTCCTACTTTTTGTAAATAATAAGCAGTTTGTACATACAAGAGAATTAAAGATAATTTAAGGCGAAGCGCTTGCACATCCTGTGTTATTGTGTTGTTTTTTTCTGCGGTGGGGGGGGGGGGGGGGGGGCACGAAGCCTTTGTGCTTAGGGCACCAAAATAGCTAGCAACGGCCCTGGTGATGGCCAGTATCATTTGTTTAAAATTACGTTCGCCTGTAGTGGAGGGCTGATTATTTGGGCTTGCTCTGCAGACCTCAAGCTGACTGACAAGCTGTGGTGGGACCTCAAGTGAGCTGAGCAGGAGCTAATGGCTAAAAAGGTTCACAATGATGTGAAAGTCAAATAAATAGAAGGGAAAATGCATATTAGGATGAGCTCATTTTTTTACAAAGCTGTTTCATATATTAAATAATATAATGATGGAAACTATTGTGTATTTGTTTATTTCCTCTTAACCCTCAGCCTTCATTAGGGACATTTTAGTCCATTTGGGCAGTT